ATTATCGGAGATAGCTTGACGAAATTACTCAGTGCATAGATAGCATAGATACTCAGCAAGAGTTTGCTCTATTCCGTACGTTATGGCATTTGTTCATTTCCCGTTGCAAAAAGAATTATAATCTTTCAGAGCTTTTGTGCATTGATGAACAACACATTCCTTTCAGAGGGAGATGCCCATTCAGATAAATTTGCAAATGAAGATTTTTCTTCTAGTGGATTGCAGCACTGGATGTATCTATGAGGGAACACCTTATACAGGCAAAGAAGCCGATGGAAAAACTACAGTTGGACGGGCATCCAAAATATTTAAGGAATTAGTAGAGCCATTTTATGGAAGCGGAAGAAATATCACAGCTGATAATTACTTAACAGATTTTGGCTTCGTTGAAGAATTTTATGTCCAATGTCGGAATAGAAAAAAAAAAAAAAAAAAACAAACGAGATATCACAGAACGCTTTATCCATGCTAACGGCTTTCCTGTTGACAGTTGCCGTTTCTCATTTGATAAAAAATATTAATGATTTCATTCATTTCAAATAAAAGCAAACGCGTCACGCTTCTTTTAACAATGCATAATAATTCTAAGTTTGACAATGCTACTGGGAAACCTGACATAATAATGTTCTACAATATTACCAAACTAAGAGCGGATAAACCGATTAGCTTGTACACTCTTAATTAATGCAGCGCAGAAAAAAAAAGTGTTGGCCTCTTGCTTACTTCATATATTGCATTTATGCATTGGCAAAATCGGAAAGAAAGTTTTATCATTTGCACAGAGGCTGTTTCTTCAAGGGCTTGCGTTTGGCTTAGTGCGACCGAGTCTAGCTAGAAAGGTAGAAAATGTAGATGGAGTTCACCTTTCTATTCACAACAAAATGCGTGCATGTCGAATTGAAATTTCTCACCCAACAAGAACGGAGGGTGAAATAAATCTGCCTGAAAGCTCTGTTACAGGTGCTCATTGAGTCAGGTTAATACAAAATCTTCGCGTTCATGCCAAAAATGCAACATGAATGCCTGTGCTTCATGTTCGACCAAAGATGAAACAATTGTCTGCAGAAAACCAAAATCCCGAAGAAATAAGTGAGAGCACTGTGAAGAGATATCCCCAAGAATTATTTCATTTCTGATATCCGTTCTTTGTGTCCGATATGATCATTATGTTCATGTTTGAAAGAAACAGTTTCATGTATGTTAAATGTCTTCGTTTGTAATTTCTTTTGATCAGTCAGAATATTTTTAACTTTGCCTTTGTCATACAGCTCTGTAAATTTGAGGGCATATTGTCCCCTGGAATGCGACAATCACATGGCTGCCTCTAGAGTTTGTTTATTGATAGCAGTGAGCCTGGGTCATTTGATCCACCTGAGTGGTAAGTCAAATCTACTAACTCCAGAAGGTACCGCAATGCCGTAGACTGATGCCTTCATGTCGGCCTGGGGTTCAAGTCGATTTTAAGATTTTACGCTCAAAATTTTGAGTAAAGCCTATACCTACTGTATAGATGCATCCCTGTTTTAATTTCTGCCCATATATGTGTTGTTGCATAATTGCGCATCAAAGTAGAGAAATGTCGGATCTCTGCTGTTGTGGATCAAAAATAGCGTCGGTTCCTACATTGGTAATATGGTAGAACAGTATTATATCAGGTTTCCCAGTAAAATCGCCAACCTTAGCATCATTATGCATTGTTGAAAGAAACCTGGCACGTTTGCTTTTCTTTGTAATGGATAAAATCTTCCTGTTCCCGCCAAAAATGCAAAAGGAATGTCTTCGACCAAAGAGAAGACATTTGTCTGCAGCGAACCAAAGTAACTGGGAGTACTGTGAAGAGATATCCCCAAGAATTATTTAATTTCTGATATCCGGTGTTTATGTTCGATATCATCATTATGCTCATGTTTGAAAGAAAGTGTTTCATGCATTCTAAATATCTTCGTTTTTAATTTCTTTAGATCAGTTAGAATATTTTTAAATTCGTATTTGTCATACAGTTTTGTAAGTTTGAAGCTACGACATTTAAAATAGTCAATCATAAATTTCGTATCAAGTCCCTCAGGACACATCTACGGCACTAAATGTTCGGCTAAATCCTTGGGTATCTTAGGGTTAAAATAAGTCATTTCTGAAAATTACGTTAGCTTGAACTGTATATACTGTACTACTAGACAAAGATTTAACGACCTCATCAATATTTTTCTTTACTGAATCCAAGTCTTCTACATCATCCATCATGTTTTTACCATTATCAGAAGAATTTGATTCTTCTTCTATTTCTTCACACTCCAAATCCTTTTCACGCAATTCTACAGTTGAATTCTTTTTTTAATTCATTAGCCTTCTTCATTTATGCTTTTTTTCTTTACTCCGATTTCTCGAATCCGAATGCTGATAGACGTAACACGCATTGTTGAATGGACCATTTATTGCTAATGCGAACTAACAATATATATATATATATATATATATATATATATATATATATATATATATATTGGCTCCTGAAAAATTAATTCAGTTGAGCTCTCTGGGGAGGAGATGTGGGTTGGTAAACAGTGACTATTATAGCTATATAGCGAGACTCTTCGCTAATGCGAATTGAGTCCTCCTGGTCACTTGGCGTGTTTATAAAGATAAACACGCTAAAAATCCACTTTCCTCCCTACCGTGCGCCGATGGCTTAATGGTTAGAATCTCCGACTGACACCAGTTGAGTCGGGTTTCGACCCTAGCTGGAGGCAACCGGATGTCTAGCCACACTGATGAGCTGCGAAACAGTCTGTCTGTGGATGACTATATATATATATATATATATAGTAGAAATCCTTAAATCCGAACTTCATATTAGATCGGAAATAAAGACGGTTTCAGATATAACGTGGCAAATGTCATATAACTGTCTATGAGATTATTCAGTGGATTATCTTCAAACGCAAGTTTTAGTGTTTTCTTCAGATTCTACAATCCTTGTTCGTTAATTTGCAAATTCAGCGAATTAGGAGCTTCGTCCAGTTTTTCAATAATTCAATTTTTTCTAATTTCTGACGTAACGTGAAAGAATTTCGTTTCCTTTTTTCTTCCAGTAGAAGTTTCTTCTTGGCGAAACATTATGGGTTGAAAAATTTCAAGTTACTAACAATTATCTGTAAAGAAAAGACACATATTAGAAATGTAGCCTATTCCAACAGCATCAAAGTAGTCAACAGTGAGAAGTTTGGAGATGAGGTCGTTCGGATATGAGGACTTCGACTGTATAAAAATTACACCCCTGTGCAATTTAATTGAAACAAAACGAATAAATCTGTTATTATTTGCTTTTTTTTGTATTTTCCAACGAAACATGACTCAGTGCATATGTTAATCCATTCCACAGATTGACCACAGATTCTCGATTAGTTTTGAACCAGGAAAGTTTCCGAGCCAGTCAATAGTACTTTGATTTGCTCACTGCTAAGGTTTACCATTGTTTTCGTGATGCTTTATAATTTTCGTACGCTTCCTTAGATTAACATCCATCGCAGACAATGGCCGTAGGACAACTAACCTGCAGTAGAGGCAATAGTGCCTGGAAGTGATGAGAATCTGAGGTAATCAGGGATGATATAATATTTTTCGAAGCCAAATAAATTTACTCATACACCCTTAAAATAGATCAATATTATTGCACACTATTGAAAATGACCTACTCTGAGCAAAAACAGAAATCGATTACACCCTGTCACTCCAGTCATTCTAAAATGACTGTTTAGTGAAAGAAAGGAAACTAAAGCGGTTGTTTCAATTAATTTGCACAAAGGTGTATATACATGCAACTTGAAGTTTAATAAAGGCTAAATTGTTGTTTTCTTCGTCTATGGTTTGGGACTTTATTTACCAACATTTTTATTATTTTCTTTTTACATATTACCATATGTACCAGTATTAACTAATATCAGGAGATTTCTTTGTAGCAATTATGAATTTACTGTATGTAAAATGTTGTTCCCTGAAAAACAACTAAAGCGTTGTCAATAAATGTATGATGAAATGTACTTAAATTCTTCTTTTCCAAAACATCTTCTGGTAATTAAACCTTACGTCATTTCTATTAACAAGAAAGTTGTACTAGTTGTATAATTTGTCCTAATAAAAGTGTTTCATCATGGTTAGTAAGAATGTCACATAAAGGTAAGGTTATAATTTTGATTCTTTTTGTTTGTGATGTGTTCATTTCTTTTTTCCTAAATATTCCATGCCAAAATCTGGGTGTTGTCCAATGCGTGGGTGCATTCAATAGGTTGGCAAATACGGTAATTTAAATTATTGAATCCCAGGAGTCCTGACTGAATTATTGAACAATCTGAACATATGATGTTAGCGCAATCACTGAGTAGTTAACAAAAAAATGATATAAAAAAGGCCTTCACTTTGTATTCAAGTAATTTTTACAGTAATATACCTGAAATATCAGGCAGTCGGTAGATCTGTCAACACTTTCTAAAAACATCCATTCCATGTTTAAAAGATACTGTTTTTATTAATATTTTAAACTAAAAGTAATATTTGTTTCAATTCAGATTAATTAAACTTTAAATTGGTTGATTTTCCTCAAATAAGATATTTTATTTTTAAAATAATTTTAATAAAGTGAATTATGTTGTGTTGACAGTTTTTTCACTATGGACACCTTTATAGATTTGACTGATAATTAGAAAAAAATGTACCAATATTCACTGATACTAGTAGATTTCTTTGTAGCAATTATGAATTTATTGTATGTAAAAATGTTGCTCCCTGAAAAACAACTGAAGCGTTTTCAATAAATGTATGATGAAATGTACTTAAATTCATCTTTTGCACAAAATCTTCTGGTAATTACACTTTACGTCACTTCTATTAAAAAGAAAGTCTTACCAGTCGTATATTTTGTGCTAATAAAAGTGTTTCATCATGGTTAGTAGGAATGTCACATAAAGGTAAGGTTATAATTTTGATTCTTTTTGCTTGTGATGTGTTCATTTCTTTTTTCCTAAATATTCCATGCCAAAATCTGGGTGTTGTCCAATGCGCAGAGCCAGAAAGAGGGAGAGAGAGAGAGAGAGAGTGAAAGAAAGATAGATATACAGAGAGAGAGATGCATAGAGAGAGAGACACACAGAGATGGGGAGAGAGTTGCAGAAACAGTGACAGACAGGCATAGACATAGATATATCGCTAAAGACTGAGATAGAGAGAAAAAGACAGAGAGATAGAGAGAGAGAGAAAGTCAGACAGATAGAGTAGTAGGGAGTGATACACGGAGACAAGAAGATAGGATGGTATAGCGGCAAATACAGACAGACAGATGGGGCGGCAGAGAGTGACAGATAGAGAGACAGAGTGGTAGAGAGTGATGGACAGAGAAAAAGAGATAGAAGGGTAGACATTGAGAGAGCGTAAAAGAGAGACTAGTAGACAGTGAGAGAGTTTTAGTGAGTGACTGAGCAGTAGTGAGTGAGAGAGTAGTAGAGAGTGACAGAGAGAGATGGAGAGAGAGAGAGAGAGAGAGAGAGAAAGAAACAGACACACCCATTGTCAAGCAGATATATAGACCCAGACAGATAGCGACAGAGATATACAGAAGTACATACAGAGAGGTAGAGATAGTGACTGAATGAGAGAGACAGACTGATATACAATGTGAAGGAACAGAGAGCGAAAGCTGTAAACCGATTTACCTACTTATAACGTAGGTTGCATATATAAACTTTACACAAATATATAAACAAACGCATATATATATATATATATATATATATATATATATATATATATATATATATATATATATATATAGATGAGGGCTTTGTAGTTTGGACGATTACTATTTGAGTTGACACGTAGACATAATCAGATTTTTTTTTCTACGTTTGAAGACGGATTCTGCCAGAGAAAACGGTGTCGCCTTTCGTCGTAAGCCTGCCTCCGTGTGACTGGAAGGCACATTGGCCAATCGGTACTGCCAAGTCGGACACTAACCTTGTCAGATCGACACACGGAAATGGCGGAAAGGTCAGCCAAAAATTGTGCCCAGACGCCTGGAAAAAAATGACAGGAGTAATTATTATCTTGAAGTTTATGTGCATATGGTGAAGATTTTACAAGGTTTTGTCGAAGGCGACCAGTACATTCAGGATTCACTACCCTTTTCATAGTGGTAAGAAATCGTAACTACTTCAATACTTTATTCCAACGTTTCGGCCGTTGTACGCTCCGGCCTTCTTCAGGTGGTTGTAATGTCGAACTGAACCCTACAGCCACTTTTTGTCCATCAACCTCAGTGTCATACTGATAGAGAGTGAGAGCATAGGTAGAAGGTTTGTAGCCATCAATGAGAAATGTTTCCATCAACTTTGATTTTCCGACAGCACTATCACCCAAGCATATAATCTTGACTTTAAGTTCACCTTCATTTTGACCACTTGTTGTTTCTTCACTGTTATTAGTGTTTATGTCATCTTCAGCGGTGTGGTAGTCAGCATCAACAACTTTCGCCATTTTCATAACTCGCCGGCACAACAATAGTCCGAATAATGTAAATAATGTACATAATACCTCATCTCAGAAATATATACAGACTTCAATACTTGCATTATAATATTCGGACGAGAAAATATTCAGGATATATGTGTTCTTGATCAAACCAAATTTGTAAAGAATTATATTGGTTATACTACAACAACCCTAAGAAGACGATTCACATTACATCTCAATGACCACAGATCAAATAGGTCTCATTTGAATACACGTGAAGACCTATCAAACTCTATCCGTAACGTAGTCGTTGATAATACTAATATAATAGCATCATCCATATGTACAATAAAGTCGAAAAATAATGGATGGATTATTAATAAAAAAGAAAAGGCCAAAACTCAATAATAACAACTATGAACACGCCTACAATGTACTCACCGTGTTCGGAAAATAAAATATTCCTATAACTGTAGATACATACATAAAACAATCCATACATTCAGTTAAAATTAAAAAACAAAATCATCCTTAATAATGGCTAATGTATAGACGAAAGCGCTCGGACATAAAAAATTTCGATGATTTCTGGAAAGTTTACTCCCAGAAAATAATAAGAGCACAAAAAGAAATTAAATAAAAATCTAACCATTTTTAATTAAGTTTGTATAAAAGAAGGATTGCTGCCAAAATTACACAAATATATATATATATATATATATATATATATATATATATATATATATATATATATATATTGGCCGCATGTAGGAAGATCACTACAACCATGCATACCTAATTTATAACTTCGAATAGCCCAAGTGAAATCTTGATTGGTTGTTGTTTACTGGGGCAACTTATATAATGCACGTCCTAAAGCTAGTGGCTGATTTTGTTCAAGGTGCGGGCCGAATACTGATCATATTCGGTCGGGTCGCCCATCGAAGAAGTCTGTTGTTTATTTATACCTGAAACTTCTAGTGACATAGGAGCAACAACACTGACGACGCATCTGGATTTGGCATTTAAATCTGTATTTTAATATATATATATATATATATATATATATATATATATATATATATATATATATATATATATATAATTAATAATCAAACGTTATTTTAGTGGATAACCGTTCCTTTCAGCTATGGCGTCCTCTCCATACGCAGCACAAGTGCCGCGAGCAGCTTTTGCGGCCTTAGAACCTTGATTAAAAACAAAAAGAAGCGGGTGTCGAAAATGATAATTTTTCTTAACTTTACATTTCATTTTAATGATTTGAAAATAAACAGAAATTAACGTAAATTAACTTTTAAAAAATAGGTTACAAATTGATTCCACAATACAATTCTGGAAAAAAATAGATTCAAAAATTTAAAAACACATAGAGATTCCAAAATATTAAAAAAAAAAACAAAACAAAAACGGCGGGACTTAGTTGGAAACCCAATAGATATTAAACTGTGTATTTGGTCTGTAAGAGAAAGCTCACGAGAAAACTTAAAGAAAATGTGCTCTCTGCTTTAAGTTTTCTCCGGCGCGCAGGGCGATGGGCGTAATAAAGACTAATATTTAACACATATCTAGGGGAGAAGAAATGTAATTTGGCGTATCTAATTGCTGAACAAGCTCGGCATTGTTTAATGCCGGTGATCGGATATAAACCAATATTTCAACCTGATATGGCTGTCAGCCTCATAGAAGAGGGGATCTGATTATTCAGCGACAAGTGAAGCATACAGCCGGCAATCCTGGGTAACATTTGTTCATCGATAGGGTTCTAGCGCCTCCCCGAGCCCACATTGCAAAAGAAGCCATTGTTTAGTACGGCGGGATTTAATTTGCTCGACCACAGTGATCGTCACATCGCATCTGTAACCAAATTATCTAAAGCACACTATATAACACAGCTGTTCCTTCGACAAAGAGGACGCAGATATACGCTCTCAATAAATCATGAAGAAAACATTTTCTCCGATAGGGTTCAAACCTGACTCGTCGTTTGTAGAACAAATTGATATTTGATACGCTCTCTTTGCCCGAACTGCCTAAAGTACTCTGTATTAAAAATTTTCTTGTTAAGACTTTTCGAGTGTACAGGCCGATAGACGTAATATACGGCGTTTAAAATAAAATAAAAGGACGTCTATTTCAAACACGGGTATCCACAAAAATTACGTTTGAAGTCATAAAAAATTCATATTGATATTAACAAGAAACTTAATAGCAGTCCCTTTTAAAATTTTGTTTAAATAACCCAAAGTTAATAAAAATCTAAAACAGAATAATGCATTACGAAAATTTTAAATAATGATACTTTTATTTCATATTTTAAACCTATACAAATAAAATCTCTAAAAAAGTGTCTTTTCATATTTTATATATGTAAATTCATTGTTTCAAGTTTGACAAATATGCAGCAAAAATGATTCGAGAAACACTGACATAATGTGGCTAAATTTGTATTATTGCGAGCAGGGTGCACACTTTGATGTTTACTGCTATTGAATTACTCCGTTTTTTAGTTCTAATAAAATCAGTTCGAAAAGCAATAAAAAAAACAAGTAAAAAGATGACATGATAATGCTATATATATATATATATATATATATATATATATATATATCATTAACATGTCATCTCTATCTAAATATATATATATATATATATATATATATATATATATATATATATATATATATGTATGTATTTAGATAGAGATGACACGTTAATGATATATATATACACACATATATATATATATATATATATATATATATATATATATATATATATATATATATATATATATATAAAGATTGAGATAGAAACTATAAATATCTAGGAAAAATAGATAGATATGAAATATCGGATATATATATAGGAAATCTAATACATAGACATGTATATAAATAGATAAACATTTACTGCAGATTTATATATATATATATATATATATATATATATATAAACATGTCATCTCTATAAATATATAAATATACAATCTATACACAATACACACACACACACACATATATATAATGTATGTATTTAATACATTTATTAATGATATATATATATATATATATATATATATATATATATATATATATATATATATATATCTAGGAAAAATATATGAAATGTCGGATATATATAAATGGAAATCTAATACATAGATAGACATGTATATAAATAGATAAACATTTACTTTGTATATATATATATATATATATATATATATATATATATATATATATATATATATCTATATGTCATCTCTATCTAAATACAATACACACACACACACATATATATATATATATGTATGTATTTAGATAGAGATGACACATTAATGATATATATATATATATATATATATATATATATATATGTGTGTAAAGATTGCGGTAGATAGAAACTAGAAATATCTAGGAAAAATAGAAAGATATGAAATGTCGGATATATATAAATAGGAAATCTAATACATAGATAGACATGTATATAAATAGATAAACATTTACTGCAGATTTATATATATATATATATATATATATGTGTGTGTGTGTGTGTGTGTGTGTGCGTCTGTGTACTATAGCTGGATATGCTATAGATAGATAGATAGATAGATAGATAGATAGATAGATAGATAGATAGATAGATATAAATATGTATATGGACATGAAATGTAAATAGATATGTTCTTTACAGGTCCATGTCATTTTATGGGTTTACATTTGCCTAAGTCTCTATGCCTATTCTTCTGTCAATAAGCAGAATATACGGATGAACAGTTCTACAAAAATAACAGATCACTGCATATCTACAAGGAAAAAAAAAACAACAACTTGCACTTAAATGGACAGACTTGCTTTTTATGTAAAAATCATTATTATAATATAAATATGATTGGGATAAAAGCCGATATATTGTGCGCTCAATTAACGATCGATTTATAACGATTCACTTAAATTATGTTTCTCTCAAAACCAACATCACAATTGAATTACACTTTGATTGGATAATTTTTAATTCTATTATTCGATTGGCAAATTTCTCTGACCAATAAAAAGCAATGTTGCTCTTTTCCTATTATTCCGTTCTTTTGTTGTCTTCGAAAATGTCTTTTATGTGCAGCATCGACATATTTTCCATATTGTGTGCACGCGTACAATAAAACCAAAACGACTGAAAAAAAAAATCATTGATATGAAAAAAAAATTTCTTTTTTGCTGTTTGCTTTAATACATTATTTATAAATTGATTGATTCTGGATTGAATAAAGGGGTTCAAATTTATTGGCGTTTTTGTTTTTGCAGCAACCTTGCCTTCAACGCTATTTAATATGACCTAAAGGGATTGCAAAAACAACCGTTTTATGTATCCCATTCCCTTGTGGAAGAACATGGCTCTCTACAACTTCCTATGCTTCGTATCTATATCCAATACTTTTCTTTTTACTGGCTTTACCACTTCATAATCTGCCATCCTTTCGCGTAAAATTGCCAAAATATTCATCGTTAGAGTAGAACATATCCCAGATCGTTCCAGAATAGACGTTGTATTCAGTGATGTTTAAAGAAGCTATGTGTTATGCACACGCGTGAGAAAAATAAAACGTTTTAAATATTTAAATACCAGCCCCAAGTGATGTAGAGAAATCTACCTGATATCGTACAGAAACATGGAAGGTCGATAATTCGAAATGAGAAGTCAGGTCATTGAACTGGTGGCAGGAAATGACGAAATCAGGTGTTGAATAAAAAGTATGAGCAATGAAGTCACGTTTTTATCATGGAAAATTTCTTCCCCGCTTTCACTACCTTTAATATAACCAGTGAGTGTTAAAGCAGAAATCTTTATTTCTTACTTATGTGTTTCAGACATTCCAACTGTCTCTTTCCGATTGTAAGTATACTTTACTTTGTAGTGCCTTTTTCCTTTAAATCTCCTTTATTTCCTGACATGTTCTGTCCACGATATTCCTAGCATTGATCGGTACTGTGTAACCCGGATATAAGAGAAACCCGGTTATAAGAGAGATTTTCTCTGGTTCCAAATTGTTCCCATA